TTTCAAGAATATTACAAATGGCCAAATGTTTATGGATATATTTTATATATATATTTTTAATATATTCATAGATATAATTGCAATAAGGAATATTATTGTCTCTTAATTCATGTTCATAGTGTCAATTATGATGTGACCGCGCAAACCAATAGTACAGTCAAATGACTCATTTTGTACTTGCATATTCGTTCCCATCCTTCCCTCCAATTATTGTATTACATGATCTCCCTTGCTCTTACATCCTCCAATAACTTTCCTTATTTTCCCGCGTTATAATACGCAAGCATACTTTGCCTATATAATACATCAATTCTTCATTCATCATTGTTCATTCATTCTACTTCTTCTTCCTGTGGGGTTATGCGTTTTAGGTTATTTTGTGCCTCTTGTTTCTTGTGTTTAATATTGTGCCTTTACTATGGTTCAATTACCCAACTTTGAGGTTCTAATAAAAGCCACATTTCAACCCCTACTTTCGCTACAAGAATTGGATTAAAACTTACTTCATTTGATGAAACATTGTAAGAAACATGAGGTCCAGGTATATTTACAGCCGAAAATGTGATTCGGGCACTAACAACATGAAATAGTGGAATTTCAATTTTTACAGGAAAACCAGCTGGCAATTGCAGTTGGATAAAATTCTTCAGCCGAGCGAAGTGGGCATTGTTTACAGCCATTAGATCAATAATTGGTAATACCTGATCCTGAAATAATCATATAAATTTAAGACAAAAACTAAAGAGAAAAATATCAGTGATAACGATAAATTGAATTCAGATTTCTGCATTACATTATAAAATTTTGCTGTGATATTGTTCGCATATTGTTTGCTTCCTAAATCATACCGATTCAAGATAAAAAACATGGTTGAGAACGGCAGATGTAATAGCTTTCTTAAGTGAAATTTAAAGTTCCAAAGTTAAGGCCCTGAAATCATTAAAAATGCGCGACTAAACATATAAATTTCGTTTCGTAATTCATTTAAAAAACTTAACCTGTAAGTCGAGTGGGTAATGGTCACAAAGCCATAAAGTAGCTTTGAATGAAGTAGTCTTCTTCGTCACCTAAAAAAGGAGAAATATTTTAAGACAAAGTTATTTCGCAGTAGTGTCGCATTAAACAGATTTCTCAGGCTTGAAATTTAATAGCTGAAGAAAGATGTAAGGAAATTATAATCACATCTTTTAAAAACGTGAAGATTTTTTATATTCATACGGCACTTAGGATACGCCATTAATTTAATATTTTTTAAAGTTATATATAAGTATGAAATTTAGAAAACTTACAAAATACTTGCCAAATTATTAATTACAGCGTTAATTATATTTTGGATGCAGATCGATTTATGAAGTATTCTATTTCATAACCATTTTGTCTAATTATCAGACCTTTTATCTCACCAAACGAGTATATCATCCAGAAAGTTCTTGGCAAATAAGCGCTAATATTACGCTGTATTACAAATATAGGATAGACTAATTAAAGGTAAAGAGCTTCAAGGAAAATGATTTAAAAGTTGATTGACAGAAATAATTGTTTTGGCCCTATCACATTCTTCATTAAAGGGTCCGTTACTGTCACTGTCGGGTACTGCGGAACTTGAAAAACGAACCTGCTTCGGTAGTCCAATATCGCGATTATTCATAGAATAATTCTTATCTAAATATTGTTGTGGTGTTAATCCGCAATACACATCATTTCCCGTTTGTCTCATTTCGCTAGTACATTTCTGATGTTTTTCAGCTAATTTCAATACAGTGTGCAAAGGATTTTCATGCTCTTCACGTCGGAATCTATAATGTAACTGTGACATTATAATTCTGGGACTAGATTTATTAGCTAGCTTTATTTTCGATGTAAATTAAACGTTATTTTCTAAAAAAGTAAATCTCCCTAATGTGTGGATGAAGAAATAATTATTTTCAAAACATTAATCAGACTACTATAGCCATTTCTCATCCAAAAAGCTTAACAATATTAGCCTCAGATTTCTTTTAAAATCACCTAAAATGCTCTTCCCATTTTTCTAAACATAAAACAGGTATCACATATATTAACTAACCTTTCCTTATCTTCTTCCAGCAAATGCTCCGTGCGCGTCTTCGTCACTATGTCAACATTACTTGCAATAAAAACCTTGAAATGTTTCAATTTTTCAATCATAAATATCCAAAAAAAAGCATGTATTGAGAATAACAATATTTATTAATTTCACAATAATTATGTACTTATTTCTAAGATAAATTCGAGATGACTTCAAAAATATCTTCAAATATATTATTTTGATTTCTTTACAGTATCTTGAAAGAAGTGAAAGAGAATACATACCTTACATTCATATCCCTCTACTTCTTCTACACGATCTGATGACGTTAACCACGAGAAGAGACCACCACCTTTTGATCGTTCAAATCTGTAAGGAAACAATTACCATTAACTAATACTAAAACGTCAGAAAAAAAACCTGAGATGTGAGAAAAAACTTTTTTTTATACAAACCCGATCTTCTCAACATCAACAAAAGTAGTGTCAACAGGTGATGTCATCCGAGAGTAAATATCTTCTTCAGGTGGAACAAAATCTCTGAGATCATTAGTGAATTGTGAGTCCATGGTATGAACAATAG